CCACTATTTATGGGTTACTACACTAGTCTAGACCCTATCCTGGGTAGTGGGGTGACCGTAAAATACGATTTCTGCTTTGACACATGAAAAAAGTGTTTTGGCGGAGTGCCTCTTGCAGTCTGCCGTACTTATTCCTCATTCTCATGAACTTCTAGCTGACAACAACCGTTCTCATTCAACGGTCTTGAGCCATTTAATTTCTGCTACATACATTTGCCTGAATAGATACACTGTGCTTACGCAGTATGCTAGCTACCAAGCTCGAAAATCTTCCTCCAGAGGTGTTGACTGCGATCTGTACATCACTCGGAGACGACCAAGCGGGACTCTTGTCGATCTCTCAGGCTTCCAAATATCTGCGGGCTATTTCAGCCCCCATCATATTCAAACATATCACCGTCACGACAAGCACGGGGAGACGTCGACCTCGAAGATCTAGCCCTCGTCCAACTCGCGATACCCGAGCGAACTTACTGCGCACCATAGTCACCAAACCAACAATCGCCGCGCATGTCTCTAGTGTCCATTGTCCATCATCACGGGGCGCCGTGCCTGCCATCAACGAGGAAGACATGGATTTCATCCTTCAGACAGCCTCCAAATTTGACGTCCCGGTTCCGGAACTACTCCGCCTCGGCGGTGCTCACCCTTCTCTCGAGGGTAGGCGGGGTTGGGCCCTTAGTGACGACGATATGCAGCGGCTCGTCACTGTGCGTGCGTTCTTCGCAGAACTCATCATCGCACATACGCCCAACATCCTCACACTCGACTATAGTATAGGCCGCTATCGGAATGCCTTCCAAGTGTTAATGACGATTCAAGACTCGTCCTCGTTCCACCGCCAGCCCATGTTCCCTTTGTTGAAAAACGTCCACCTGCGGCTATTCGGGCCCGGCACCTTTCTACGGCCACTGAGTGAGATGGCTCCCAATCTTCAAACCCTCCGTATACAGGGCGTAACGGCACCGATGGAAGGCTGGCACTTTGAAAAGGTCAAGGATCTCCGACTTAGCTCATCAAACTTCACGGGCTCAGAGCTCAGGGGCATCTTGACAGGGTGTCCCGCTTTAACTAACTTTGAGTACGATTACTATTCTCTCAGAGACGAGAGATGTGCTCCGCAAGATGTGGTTGACGCCTTGGAGAGCTTTGAACCACAATTGGAAGGACTTTCTTTAAAGTTCCATTCCAACACGTGGGCAGGCCGGAGAAGAGAGCCATCGACTACGGATCAGAATCAGCCCAATTCGGGGCTCATCACCTCTCTAAAGCATTTCACAGCCTTGATGAACTTACAGCTTGACAGTGTGTGCTTGTGGGAAGACGCAGTTGAGGGATCGGCCGGCGAGGATCAAGGAAATGGGACGGAACAAATATTCGTCAATCTTCTACCAAGAGCCGTAAGGAGTTTGCGCGTCACATACAAGAGCCCTAGACCGTTCCATGATTCCCTGCCCGTTTTTGCGCGCAATCTTGGGGATTGCTGCCCTGAGTTGCAACTAGTTCACAACAAACTGCTTTTTGATGGTCCGTTGTCTCAAGGTCTCTTAGACCAACTGCGGCAGGTTAGAAAACAGTTTGTTTTACTTGGTCTCACTTTTGAATTCGATGTTTCGAGGCTAAATGGATGTGTGTATGTCAACTTGGATGATGGAGGTCTGCCGGTTTCCATTGAGACGATGACTGAAGAAGAATGGATTCTTTCTGAATTAGGCTGATATGGAAAACATTGAATCATTTGATAATTGAAGACTAAAAGATAAATTTGTGTCAGTATCAGTACTTCTCTAAGAAACATCGAAGAAACCGATTCTTGTCATCGAAACAGGGTCAATGATGAAAGAAGCTTACTGGTGACCAAGTCGCATCTAAGAGTCATCCGCACCAGCTTTTACTCGGGCAAGACCCTTGAAATTTTCAATCACCTATTAAGAACAGAGACCAGTATCTGTTCGGATGACTCACCAAAAGACCATGTGATATGAAAGCTTGTTATTGGCTCAGTGGCTCTTAGTAAGTAGGCGTCACACGGTCGCAGCGGGGTCGAATAGGCAGCCGTAGGCTCACTAGAACTCCTGGAAAGTTACTGAGTTTTCTGGAGGACATGATGAAATCTGGCACATAAGGCTCAAAATCACTTGAATTTCAGGAAAGACGTTGAAACACTTTCGTGACTCTGCAGCTTTGCTCAATAGTCTCAAACTTCTCAGCCCAAGATCCCAGCCGCAAGGAGCCGTTAATCGCACACCAAGCCCCCAATGACTACATCGACAAGCCTAGAGCACCTTCCGACAGAGATTCTTTCCCAAATCTGCATTCAATTGAATGAAAATGGAGGTTCGCACATATTGAGACTATCATTGACCTCGAGAAGATTTCGGGTTATCACGGTCCCACACATATTCGAGCGACTGTCCTTTATGACGCCTCCTTACTCAAACATCTTCGACGAGAACACTACAGATAGCCGGATAGGCCTTCTGAGAACGGTTGTCACGAATCCTAAGATTGCCTTTGAGGTCAAAGATATTGAGGGCTTATTTGGTGGAAAAGGGCAAATGGCCAAAGAAGACCTCAGTATTATCATTCGGGCAACCAACGACTTCGGAATCACACCACCAAAAGCTCTTACTCGGCTTTACGAACAGTTGAGGCCTTTAGAAACGGTGCCAGATATCCAGTTTGGTCTCAATCATGGAGTTTGCAAGCACTTGAGCTGTTTCATGACAGAAATGCTTGTTGCTCATACACCCAACCTCCGAAGTTTAGAGTACAATGTCCACGGCTGCTCGAACGCATTTAAAACACTTGAAGAGGCGGTCAGAACTCACTTCAGGGTTCCGCTGCTGCCTAATCTGATAGATGCTTACATCGAGTTGAACGGTCCAGCGGATCAGGTCAACTCTTTGGCAGAGGCTGCTCCGGCTCTAGACAGCCTATGGCTGAGATCCGTTTGCGGACTTCAATCCGGCATGCAATTCAACAGCGTCAGAGTCTTAATCTTAACCCAAGTAGATTTGAGTCCTACCGAGCTCAAGAAACTCCTGAGCGGTTTTCCTGGCCTCAAGAAGTTTTGGTTCATATCAAGCTACCGCCTGGTGCGAATGGGGGGCACGTCCCAGCTGTGCCGACCCCAAGAGGTGGTAGATGCCCTCTGCGGTCTTAACCTGGGGATCACAGAGCTGACGCTGCACTTCAATTCTTGGGACTGCCATGAGCCGAGCCAGGACTCTGATATCCCTCTGCCTGGCCTTCTTACCTCGATTCAGGGGCTCGACAAACTGGAGGATCTGGATTTTGACGGGATGTGCTACTGGAGTAGAGGCTATTTCTTACATGGATCACCGACTTATGATCCTGTGAAAGTTCAGGCCCTCGCACGGCTTCTTCCTTGTAGCCTCAAAAAGCTAACACTGACGAATTTGAAGAATGGCCCATTTTATGAAGATTTGGAAGCATTGCCGGAGAGGGTATCGGAAATCCTGCCGGAGATGAGATTGCTGGAGTGTGGACTGCGACATGGAAAGAAGATGCCACAGGATAAGTTGCGGTACCTGACGGAACGCTTCACGGCCCAGGGAGTCAAGTTTCAAGACTCGGCAAATATTCATTCGAGCGACGATGAGGACAGTTAGATAACTTGGGCTTGACCTACTTACAAACTTGCCAATCTGGACCGAAATTACTCTCAATTAACCCAAAGGCTCACAAAACCACTTCCCGTCTGTCTAAATTTAGACCGGCAATGGAACTAGGAAGCTTTTGATGTACCGTGAAGGGAGCGAGGTGGAATCACTGGTTGTCTATTGTGCTGCTGCGATGATTGCGCTCGAGCGATGAAGGAATATCCGCATCGACTTTGACTCTTTTGACACTGAGACTGGATAATCATGACCACAAGTCAGCGATTCTTGGCAGCTGGGATAATTGGACTGAAAACTCGCTTTTGTCCTTGGCCTGCATTTTAGAGCCTTGGCAATTAATCACCATCTTATCGAGCTGCCTTTTGTGAAATCCCCCCTCTCTGCGGAGTTGCTTTCGCCCCAGCCTTTACTTGCCTCTTGATAGAGTGGTCGACCAAAGCCATATACATCAACCCAAACGTTGACGCCCAAGAAACCAGGCGACTTCTTTGGACTCAGGAATAGCTTCAAAAGTCCCTGCGGCCTCCCAAATACAGACGTTTGTTCTAGAACCCGATGGCCCTGGGTAAATCAGAACCATCGCCAGTAAGCTGCAGGCCACTATTCGGACTGAATTGGGTCCTAACCGCCGCGCGGGGTGACATTCGGGGGTCTAGCCTGGCCTACCCCGGGCCATGCAGATCGGCTCGTTCCACTAGCACGCTGGCCACCAATCGTCGCCGTTGAGGGAGCTTTAAGCTTAAACCTTAAGGGCAGGTGAGAAGGATTTCGAAGGGTTGCGTGCGAGTTGCGTGCCCAAGTCGCTTGGCAAAGGCGAGCATGTCAACTACCCGCCTTCCTCATTCTATTCTGACTTGTCTGCAAATCATCAGCCGGATGTCTTGGACAATAGACTTATGTATGTTTTGCCCTTGAGTGAGGCTCGCTAATCTCTCTCCATATCCAGTTAAGGAAGGTGATCAGATAACATTTACAGTCAAACTCAGATGTTATTCAAGGTTTGCACTAAGCTAGCAAAGGTCCTCGACTGACAGCCCGACGCCTGACCAACTCATAGCTCCTCACTGGAATAGCAGCTGCCCGAGCTAGGTATGCAAGCCCCAGAGTGTTCATCCCTACTCCGAGGTGGAGTTATTGTCACGGCAGTGGCTGGTCGGACCCTTGACGACCTGTCTGTTGCACCCGAACTGGTCAGGCCATGTCTTCGGGAAGGCTAGCGTCGTATGGCAAAGTCTCTGATATTTCGAACCTGTATGGCTACAACCGAATTTGGTAAAATCGACCATGGAATTGTAAGCCGAGTGACCGGGCCATAGTCTCGCGGGGATGCTGGGATTAGACCGTAACCCCAGAGCTTATCAGGGTACAACCAAGACAGCAGCAATCACACCTACCACTTTCTGCAAAGGGCCGTTGGTGACACTGCGTCGAAATAGCTCACCGAAAGACTTCAACTGGTGACATCAGCAATTTGCTTTACAATCTGATCTCCATAAATAGAGACGGGTGATCGCTCCCGCTATCCCAGCTTTTCTCTAGCACTCCAGTCTTCAGCTCACTGCACCGCCAAGCCGTTTCTGGAGTCTGCCGTTGACAATGAAGTTCCTCGCTGGTCTGTCCCTCGTTCTGCCGCTGGCATCCGCCGCGGCTGTGGTCCCTCTCGAGAAGAAGATCACCTACGATGGCTTCAAGGCCTTCCGTATTTCCACGCATAACGACCCCGCGTCGATCAAGAAGAAGATTGCCAACATTGCGGCGATCCCATTCAATCTCGACAACAGCGAGCACCTTGACGTTGCAATCCCCGCTGGCGATGTCTCCAAGTTTGAGGAGCTTGGTCTCGAGACATCCATCCTTCACGAGGATCTTGGTGCTGACATCGCCGAAGAGGGCACTTTTGCTCCCTACAAGAGTACGTCTCTCCATGCCGAACTTCGAAGAAGATTCAGTGAAGAAGACTTGGTCTGACATTGAACAGGCAACGACGATATCTCTCTTCAGGCTCTCCCCAGCCTGACGTGGTTTGACTCGTACCACACTTTTGCCGACCACCAGCAGTTCATCCGCGATCTGCAATCCAACTTCCCATCCAACTCCGAGTTGATCAACGCTGGTAACTCTTACGGCGGACGCTCCCTCCTCGGTATCCACCTGTGGGGTAGCGGTGGTAAGGGCTCCAAGCCTGCCATCTACTGGCACGGCACCGTCCACGCTCGCGAGTGGATCACCACCATGGTAAGTTGTCGAAATTGGATGTCGATATGATTTGTGTTGCTAATATGCGACAGGTTGTCGAATACCTCACCTACCAGCTCATCGACGGCTACCAGAAGAATGATGCCGCTGTCAAGGCTCTCCTTGACAAGTACGACTTTTACATTCTGCCTATTGTCAACCCTGACGGTAAGACGCATCGATCAACGAATCGTCGCCCTTTGACCAAATAGCTGATTTCACCAAGGCTTTGCTTACACTCAGACAAACGACCGCCTTTGGCGCAAGAACCGTCAAGTCAGATCCGGCAGCACTTGCGTCGGTACTGACATCAACCGGTGCGTCCATCACTTCATTGATTACGAGAATCAGAACTGACGCTCAATAGCAACTGGCCTTTCAACTGGCAACTCCCCGGCGGAGCCTCGACTAACTACTGCTCCGAGACATACAAGGGCCAGGCCGCCGGCGACACCCCTGAGATGGTCGCCCTGAAGGCTTACACCGACCGCCTCGCCGCCGGCAACGGAATCAAGCTCTTCATCGACTGGCACAGCTACGGCCAGTACATCCTCCTGCCCTACGGCTACGACTGCTCTGCCCGAGCCTCCAACCACGCCCGCCAGATGACTCTCGCAACAAACACTGCCAACACTATTGCCCAGGCCTACGGCACTCGCTTCACCTACGGACCTAGCTGCTCGACTCTATATGCCACCACTGGTAGCGCTCCGGACTACCTCACTGGCGCTGCTGGCGCTGAAGTCGCTTGGACTATTGAGCTGAGACCCTCTGGATCTGCTGGTGGTGGGTTTGTTCTTCCTGCTGCTCAAATCCTTCCCAGTGCGATTGAGCAGTGGAACGGCATGAAGTACCTGCTAGCAAATGTATAATTGATGACATCAAGACGTTGAGTCAGGCTCTCGATCCAAGATTAGCGATGGCTAGAATCTCTTTTGGAGCTGAATGAGAAATCACAATGGCACTCACCCATTTTTGACACCTAACAAAGCTTCGGGAAGAGAAGAATGACAAAGATTTGATTCCAGTCCATATGAACAGCAACGACGGGTGGAAGTAAGGAGGCGCTACATTGTTTTTATTTTCGCCATGGTTCTATCCCATCTTCTGCCATCTGGCGCTAGTACGTCCGTCTCTAGCCTCTCTCCAACTTCAATTTGCTCCCCAAATTAATTCGTAAGCGGATATAAAGGGAAAAAAAAGGCATGACAGATACAGAATCCTGCATCACTCGTTAGGAAAGTACTTTCATATAGAACCGCGCCATCTAGCAGTTGACAAGATACACTACCAGAGAAAATTGTTTGCAGAATCGCTGCGTTAAGGTCAAGCGGAAGCTGGATCACATCACTAACCCACAACTAGGAAATGCCTACCTCTCGACTCAAGTAATTCGTCCAGCCAGAGTCCTTTGCCCCTCATGCCGTATCGCCATCTGTTGTGTTTATTTGTCAAATTCAAGGCACAGGTAGTTTGGGAAACCCGTTAAGGCAACCCAAAACTTTGAAGCCATCAACATGCTCTACCCTTCCGCTCGTCTTAACTCCTACTCATCGCCGCTTCCGGGCTTTGACAACCTTGCGACGCTCAGGGCCCTACACCGCCTTGGGTAATCTGAATAACACGGCTGATTAATATTATGATGAAAAAGTGTTGTTTCTGCGTTGTCTTTTTGCATTCAAAGAGTATTCGTGCTTTCCCCATTTCAGGCCTTGTATCGTCGTGACCGCAAAGGTTTCCGGTTTCTTTCCCATCGTCCCTTTGTTCTTTGCCTTTATATGTCGCCATTCTATATTACTAGCGATCCCAACGTCTTCGACCTTGAAAAATGTGTTTAGTAGAAGATTCTGGCGGCCGATCCAGCAATCACTTTTCAATATCATCGGCCCCTGAATCGAAGTGAATGAATCGATCTGAAATAAATATGAAGCCTAATTCTAATGCATCAATGAAGTTCCCCGCTGACGTCTCCCGATCCCAACATCTCCCCAGCTCAGGGAATGCCGTTTGCCAATCTATCTGAATTGCTCCGCAGCATGCTCCAAGAACTTGAGCATTTCCCGCTTAGACGCCTGCTCTCTAAGGCGTGCCGACTCTTGCTTCTCTGCCAGCGCAAGCATATAGTCACCTTCCATAGTAACTCCAATATTTTTGATATCGGCCGCCATGTCTTCACCAACCATCTTCAAGCCGTCACCAAGAACGTCCTTGACGTTTCCGATTGCGTCGCGGAACATCTTGACCTTCCGGTTGAGGACATATTCCTCAATTTTGGCTTTGGCCTTCTTCACTGATCCTTTTCCTATATTGGTTTGCAATGTGATTAGTATGGGTACCCAAAAGGTTCTCCCAGAGACCTCCGGAAGACATCCAGATTAACGGAATCATACTTACCACGCATCTGAGAACACTCCTCATAGCCAAGAGCCATCGCTTCGGCAACTGGCGTGGTCAACGCTCTGTTGGCGTCCTTCTGAGCCTCATCGACTCCCATTCGACTTTGAGCGGCAAGTCTAACAACTTTTGACTTGTGAAGGTCGAGTTGCCTACTAAGCTGCACGATTGCGGGTGATTCATCGTGATCGTAGTCTTGGATCCCAAGTTGCTTCATGACATCCTCGTGAAACACGCCTAGTCGGTGAGTCGCGGAGACAGAGAAGTTGTCGAGCACGCCTGGGATAGTGAACCGAAAGAAGTTTGCCCAGGTCTCTGTCAGGTTATCAGTGATAGGTCGCAACAAGTCTTCGTTGAAATTGTTCATCTTCCATATGCCGCCGCGGCGAAAAGTTGCCTTTAGCGTAGAGAAGTTCATGTTGCCCCAGCCAATTGCCGTAGGAACTGCCGCGCGACTGGCAGCAGAGCTCAAGCGCTTCATCTCCTCATACAGACCAGTCTCTGCTGCCACGTGCAACTTGTCTCGGCAATCCTCAACCTCGCCATTCAAATCCTGCCGAGTGTCAATTCCTTGTTTCATTAAACCAAGATGGAAGCAGTACTCACGGCATTGAAGCGTGCCAACATCCACTTTAGACGCTCCCCGTCAATCGTGGCTGTAGTCTCTGCCGTGTCCTGCGCCCATATTGCGATGGAGTTGAGGATTTGACATATACTGTTAAGTATTTCTTGGTACTTCGCGATTCGAAGCTCTTCGGTCAACTTCTGAGCATGAGCTTGAAGCTGGGGGATTTCTGTGTCCTGCTCGGTGTCAAAGCCAGGAGTCTCATCATCGTTATCGGCCACAAGACCTTGCATCTTTTGGTAAACGAGGCTGCTGGTGCAAAAGATAGGAGTCAAAGCGGACATTTCGTCGTAGTCTCGGAACTCCTCATCAGCTTGCCCATGTCCGTTGGCGTTGGCTGAATCTTGCCGATCAAGACTAAATTGGTTATCGATTAGTCCCAATGACTTTCTGGCGTGGTTTCTCACTTACTCTTTGAAACCCTTAGCGAGGTGCTTCCTGACAGCATCTCGGCAAAGCTGGTTGCGTCTCCGAATCAGACGTGCATGGACCTCGTCCATCAGCTCTCGCTTTTCTTCTTTCAACTCTGCAAGCTCTTCGTGCTTCTCAGCATTCGGATCGCAGTCAATGACACCATCATTGGCTAGTTCAGAGGAACTATCAAACATGGCTCTCTCCACTTGCTTACCGGGCGGCTCGGTTCGCGCTCTCTTCGCTGTGCGGCCCGTGTCGAGGCTAATGGTTGAGGCCCGGGATGTCTTGCGTCGACCTCGGACAACCATGAGCTCCTTTTCCAGAGCCGCGGTGCGGCGACCTAGGGCTTGGACCCGGCCCCATGCTGCCTTAGTATCCTTGTCCAACTTCGACTTCATGCTTTCTATTCCGGAGCTGAGCGTCATGTCGTCAGTCTTTGAGCAAATGATGGTCAAAGCCGAGAATGCTCCATCAAGCTTGAGCTGACGCTTGATAGAGTTGCTCATGATGTCCTTGGCTGTTTTGTTATCAACAGCTCTGTTGATTGGAGCCACTACCCAGACTCCCGAACAGCACTTGATGTACTCGCTTGCTACTGCAGCTCTGGCTGCATCTCAATCCTGGTGGCCGGGCTACCAGACCTGATGTCAGCTACCTTCCATAAAATCGAGTTCCACCAAAAGAATAACATACCAAGTCTACGATTGTGACACCGTTAGCGAGCACTCTGGCTTTGGTAAAGATTCTGACAACCTTCACCAAAGGCCAGTATGCCGCCGTCTCATCATCCTTGTCGTTCGAGTCGACGTAGGGCTCGAGTTGCTCGCGGATATCCTGCGCATTGCCGCTTTTCACCGTCATGGTGGTACCTAGAAGGTGGTTCACGCTTGGATGGGTAGCCAGCTGGGCCGAATTGCTGCTAGTCAAGTCTTCCAGGCTCAATGAAGGATAGACCGCTTGAACTTTCGCTAAAGCTTTCGCTGCATCGCTTTCCGGGTCCAAATCATTTCTCTCATTAGTCTCTTCAGCGAAGAATTCCATGAGCAGTATGTTGACTTCCTTGGACCATTCCTCTTGAGAGATGAACTCGACTTCCGCGCGGTATGGGTTCTCTTCGTCTTCATCATTGTTGTAAGAAACCTCGGTGGCGACAGCGGTGCACGCGCGCATACAGTTCGTGGGAAGTAAGCTAAGAATAATCAGCTGGGTTCCATCGTCCGAGATGAGTGTTCGATCATACCTCTCTTCATCTAGTAGAGCATTGATGGTTGAGCTTTTGCCATCTCCCGTGTTGCCCAGGACACCGATGACAGTTCGATGGGACCGCTTCGCCTGATCGCGAAGATCAGAAATTTGGTCAAGCCAGTGAGCCGCTGCCTTCGTCAGAGCAGGTTGAAGCTTGCGAGAGGAAGAAATGGTCTCGCAAGCTGGCTGGAGTCCGTCCAAAAGCGGAAGAACCTTTTGGTAAAACAGCTGCCAAAGATCTGGGTCTTTAACTCTTCTCATCTTTTCCATGTATGAGAATGTCAGTAGAGCACACTGCTCAGTAGATCTTGATCTTGCGTTGAGAGGGGCATCTGTCGTAACCTCCTCATGCTGCTCTTTCTTCACTCCAACAACTGCCTGACTGGGGTCCATTGTGCAACTGGGAAGGAAGGTATCTCAGCTAGATTGAGCCTGAAGTAACGCCTCGTGATTCGGAAGACTCGCAAAGAAGAAAAAGAAAATTGCTTGTCCAAATGAAGATCGTCAAATCAGAAAGATAATGTAGAATTGGCTCGCCTAAGACCCCAAAGTGCGATGCCAGATGTTGACGATGATGAAGAAATTGAAAGGTAGTATGGTTGAATGAAGAGTAAGAAGAAGAAGAGAATGTTGAACTTGGAGGAATTTGGGGAAAGGTACTTAAGTTGACGAAGTGGTTGGGTTGAAGTTGTCTGGGGGAAGTGAGGCTGAGAGTATCGGTGTGGTTAAATACCTGTTGTAACTGGGAATTGCCTTCGAAGTCTGGCAGGATGTGAACGAAGGAGCAATGGAACCTAAGCAAGTGTAGGCAGCAAGTACCTTACCTCGAAGAGACAAGGAATCTCAATGGTTTCGAGAGAGACATGGAAGGTTCGACCGACGTTCGAAGAAATACCAAGAGGGATCTGAAAGATAATGTTAAAAGTTGCAAGACCGTCTTTCGGTAAGGTAGAAGTTGGGGCTCAAGTGTCAGGTCGATTTTCCAAGATATCCAGGGCTCAAGTGGGAATAGCCTCAATTCTTATATGGACCATGAGGAAGGTTGCCGCGACTGGCTCTGGATCGGCTCACTGTACAGTCTAATTTTGCTACCGGTGGTTCTTTCCCTTCTCGAGTCCTTCCTATTTCGCGGTGCTGGATGAAGAAGGCATCAACACATTCACCACGGTGAAGCGAATCCCTCACCGTCCCTTGACCGAGTACACCGAGATAAGATAAGTGACCAGGGGCGGTGTGGAAAAGAACTCATATCAGATCTTATCAGATCCTTCCCAGCGCAACCCCACCATGCGAACCCCGCGGTCCGCAATCCGCAGCGACGCAGGCAGAGGCGGGCTGCCCCTCACCAGCAAAGCCGACCATATCCCTCCCTCACACCACCCGAGTCAGTAACGACACATTGCAACGACACACATAGGCGCAAACGGATTTCCTCTTTAGCAAAGCATCTTGAGCATACGGAATTGGGCGCAAACGCAAGGATAGAAACATCACAATCATGGCGGAAACTGCAAATCAAGTAGCAGGCGGAGGGGAGCTCTTCGTCAACGGGCGCATCTTTCTGCACAACGCCGAAGCCGGCCTTGAGACACAGCCCACCTTTGCCGAGAGCATGTTCATCGCCAACGGCATTATTGAGAACATTGGCACAACGGAGGACCTTAAGGCAAAACACACATCGGGAGAGGTCACCACGCATGACTTGGAAGGCAGAACAGTCCTGCCGGGCTTCATCGACGGCCACGTGCATCTCCTCCTCCTCGGCCAGTCGCTGCGCAAAGTGAGCCTCGAAAATTGCACGTCACTGGAAGAGATACGCGCCGCCATCAAGGCATACGCCGTCGCCAACCCGGACGTCCCGCGCATCATGTGCAAGCTGTGGATGCACTCCATGACTCCCGACGGCGTCGATAAGACCATGCTTGACGACATTGACCCCCGACCAATCTTCATCGACACAAAGGACCTCCACTCGACCTGGTGCAACACAGCCGCCATCAAGGAGCTCGGCATCGAAAACATGCCGGACCCGTCAGGAGGCAAGATCCACCGCGACGCCGAGGGCAAAGCGACGGGTCTCCTCAGCGAGGCCGCCGTGCTCACCATCGTGTGGCCTCATCTCGCCCAGGTGGCCCCCAAGAGAGATCGGATGGACGCCATGAAGGATGCCGTGCAGACCTACAACGCATCAGGCTACACAGGGCTGATTGAGATGGCCATGGACGAGCCGGCATGGGACGCAGCGTGCTCGCTCCGCGCCGAGGAACCCAACTTGCCCATGCGCATCCACGCCTACTGGCTCATCAAACCATCCGAATCCGAGGAGGAGCGCTTCAAGCAGGTCGATCGAGCCATCGAACTCCACAACGAGCTGAACAAGGCCACCTCCCCTGACCTGCGCATCGTAGGCATCAAGATCATCACCGACGGCATCATCGACGCCTGTACCGCCCACCTGTCAGAGCCCTATGCCGAGGTGGGTTCCCCCCCGCCCTTTTGGAGTGCCGAGTGGCTCGGCCCCGTGGTCGCGAGGGCAGACGCCGCCGGATTGCAAATCGCCCTGCACGCGATAGGCGACGCAGCCATCAAGAACGCAGTCAACGCCCTCGCCAACCACGCCACGCCTGGCCGCCGCCACCGCCTCGAGCACATCGAGATGGCATCCCCCGAGGACGCAAAACACCTGGGCGAGCTGGGTCTCACGGCCTCGATCCAGCCCGTCCACGCTGACCCGGCCATCCTCCGCGCCTGGCCGCGCCTCATTGGCGCCCACCGCTGCGAGCGCGCCTTTGCCTACCGCGAGTTCGCAGACCACGGCGCGCTGCTCGCACTCGGCAGCGACAGCCCCACGGCCCCCTGGGCGCCGCTGCAAAACGCCTACGTCGCGACGACGCGGCGGTCCGCCAGGGAGCCGGGATACGATGTGGTCGTCAACGAGCACTTCAAGCTGGGTGTGTGCGAGGCCATCACGGCGGGCGCATTCGGAACTGCAAAGAGCGTGTTTGCGGAGGATCGGACGGGTTCTTTGCAGATTGGCAAGCGCGCGGACTTTGTGGTGGCGGAGATGGATTGGACGCCGCAAGGTCTACTCAAGGGCGAGATCAAGGCCACCTGGTTTGACGGGCGGAGGGTGTGGCCGTCTCCCGATGCGTAGGGTCTTATCCGGGAGATGGGGACTTGCTCTCCTCCGGCCGTCCATGTTGAGAATCAGACTTTTTGTTGTGCCGGTCGCTGCTACTGACTGCTGCATTTCAGTACATACGCCCCATATATGCAGCCGAGAGGCAAAAAACATGAAGCCCAGCCAATTGGTGGTGTTCGTGTACAATAATTTGTCGGCTCCCACATGACATGTTCAGATATTTGTAAACAAAGGTTCGTGTGTACTTCTGTCGTGTGTGTGTGCGTTTGCGTGTGTCTGTATGCGAAAGAGAGAACGTAAGTCAGTTTTGATTTGTGTGAGTAAGGTAGTAGTCGTGTGTGTGTGTGTATGAGTGTGTCAGTATGCCAGCCGGCGCAGTATTCTGGGAATAGTTTCATCCCATCTCGTGCGTGTTTCCGGCTCTGCGGCAAGATGGCACTGGCCGCTCTCCTGCCCTCCCCCAATGCCCAAATCCCCCCATCCCCCAGTCTCTTCTCACACGATGCCCCGATCGGGGAAAGGTTGCAAATCCACACCAACTCGGGATAAAGTCGCGCTGAAGTTCTCCAGGGGTTCTTCGTGAGTGGCTCGGACGTGGGTGAGCACGTCAAGGGTGTTGTCGGGAAGAGAAGGGCGCCTGCCAACAGGCAAATCACCCAACCCCAGACAGGGATCATCCTGTTTTCTTCTGCATGTCTGTGATATCAGAGATTCCAAAAGAGGCTCTGGCAGCGGATGTCAAAACCCCCATTTCAGCACATGGAGGGTGTGGTGGTGGCCCACTCCTCTCGAGATGCCGAGGGACGTGTCGTTCTCTCTCGTCCCAGACTCTGGATGGAGGTCAGTACAAGAAGACGGTCATGACCCCACGAACTTGGACAGATCGGGCCAGCCAACCTTTTTACTCCATTCAGATTTCGTTCTCGACTTTGGTTCTTCCAATAAAACACACGGACATCTTTCACATTCTGTTGTGGTCCACCTACTCCGGAAAGAACAACATCTCGCAGTCGAAAAGATGCAGCCTCAAAGTAGTCTGTCGGCGCTTGCCGCCCTCGTCCCCATGGTTCTGGCCTTGCCTCAACAGCAGCCTCCCCCACCAGGCCCTCCAGCTGCTTGTGCACCGGTCAACATCATCGTCGCCCGTGGCAGTCTCGAGGCGCAGGGTGCCGGTTTGTTAGGCAATATTGCCATGAACGCGTCGATGCAGATTCCCGGCTCCGTCATTACGCCATTGGTGTACCCGGCACAACTCGACCCGTATCCGCCTTCCGTGTCGGCTGGTGTGATGAACATGACGACTCTTCTCAATCAACAGGCGCAGCAGTGCCCCCAGTCGAAGCTCGTTCTGATGGGATACTCTCAGGTATGTCTTTCTCGTGAAGTGAATGCTCGGCGTCGTGTCTGACATGTTGCAGGGCGCACAAGTGTCGCTGGACACTCTTTGCGGTACCACGGATGGCCCGAACTTCAACACGACTGTTGCACAGGCACCCATGGTCGGAAGCAAGAGTAGGTTTATAGACCTTTGATGCCGTGTGATAGTCATGGCCAGTTTGCTGACATGGCTCAATAGTCGCTGCCGTCGTCTTGTTCGGTGACCCAACCTTCATCGCCGGCCAGCCCTTCGCCAAGGGAACCTCAAAGAAGAACGGCGTATGTCCTTCAGACCTCGATCTTATCTCCGCTCTCGCGTGACTAACCATTGCATCACAGATCTTCCCTCGTATGGATCTCGGCCCATGCCAGACCCTGACGAGCAAGTTCGCATCATTCTGTGATGACACGGATCTCTTCTGCGCCTCGGGCCAGAACTTGACCGTCCATCTCGGCTACTTCTCGAAGCAGGACTACGTAGCCCAGGCATCTTCATTCATCGTGCAGCAGACCAAGTAAAGGTCTGAAGCAATGAAATGGCGATAATAGCATCCAGAACTCGAGGAGCTGGCGACTCGGGCGACTAGAATGACTCTTGATGGAGACGAGGAGGTAATGCTTTCACGATTCTTGACGATAAACTTCTTCTTTTCTTCTTTCTGCTGCAGTAGCATTTTCAGTCCGGTCTTGATGATCGACGCATGGCGTTTCGTGGTGGAGGCAAAAAGACACACTAGCCGTAGCGTTTTCCTTTCTCCTGATATCAGCAGAGGCCTTTGAGCCAAAAACAACTTGAATAAACGAAAAGATTAATTCTCAAGGAACTGGAACATTTGTCGTCCGTGCTCGTTTCGTCACCGAGAGAAGTGGGTCG